ATTTGTTCCGGAAATTATTGGTATAGTTTTTTACTGTCATCAAAAGGTGGCGTACCAAAAAAGTCTATTTTTTTCTTAATTTTAACAACAGAAATGGACATTGCTGAGTATTTTAAGACAAATTAGTGCATTTTTAGTCATTTTTGAAAAAAAAAATTTTTCGGAGATTTGTTCGGGAAATTATTGGTATAGTATTTCACTGTCATCCAAAGTTGGCGTACCAAAAAAGTCTATTTTTTCTGAATTTTAACAACAGAAATGGACATAGCTGAGTATTTTAAGACAAGTTATCCAAAGTTGGCGTACCAAAAAAACATATTGAATTGTATCCAGAAAAAATATATAGCTATGTAATTTAAGGCAAATGTTTTTGTATACTTTTGATGACAGTAACATACATTACTAATTATTTCCTGAAAAAGTCCTCAAAAACACTTCCTTTTTCAACCACTTCTACTATATCTCCTCACGCTTGTTGTGTCAAAGTTTGATGTTGACGGATTCATTGACGTTAGAGGATGTTTTGTCGGAATCCACCACTAGGGCATTTAGTCCTAACATTCATGAAGAAGTCTTTTCATTCATCCATCACTCTCATCTCAAGCACCAACGTTCTGACAGCCAACAAAGTCTGTGCCTTTAAGGACCTACTTAGTCAAATGTCACAGAATCGAACTGGACACTTCAGTTTTTTTCTTCCATTTGGTTCATATGTCATTGTTTTGTCCTCTTTTCTTCACTCAGACATCTGTCAGCTGCTTCTTTAATAAACTGCTCAGAGTGAGCAGCGTCTGAGGGCCCTCTTCACATCATTTGTTTTTCATACACACACCTGTCTAGCAGGTGAACATTTAATAACACAGAGCTTGACGTCTCATGCCGTAACACCTTGAGAAGATAAATATGGTTCTACACCTCCCCCGAGGTTCTGCACGTACCGTCACATCAATACGTCAACAACCTGGGGATGAGTCTGGTCGTTGACATATTGATGTCAGAATAACAGAATAAAACAATAAGAAGAGCAGCCCAGATAAAAAACAAACATTAAAAATGAAAAGTAAAATCACCACAGCAGATGTTTGCATAGTGACTTGTTACAGACTTGTTGGTATTAAATGCCAAACCTTCTGCGTAGTTGGCATGAGTTTCTGCACCACCGTTGCGCTCAAAGAAAAACAAATATATATATATAAGAAAACCTTCAGATAAAACCATTTTTTTAAATTACTCTTTACAACGGCAATAAAAATGACAAATATTTAATGTGGTCATGTTACCTCTCAAAGAGGTAAGTGGAACTATCCACTCAAAAAGTGGATAGTTCCAAATGTCTTGGAGTTTTGACCTCAGATCTTCTGACGGTGGAACCCTCCTGGATCTTCACTTATTGGTTCTTCTTTGTTCAAAGAAACTTCATTCGTTGAAACACAATCTTTTTCTCTCCATCTCTGTTGACTCTCTTCTTCAGTGGTGTTTCCATCAGAAGTAGAATTCTGCAGGACGTCCTTTAGACACCAGGTCACAAACCGGCTTTGTACTCTGGTCTAAGGACTGAACTCCACTTCCTTCAAACGACCTTTCAGTTTTGTAGAAAAGCAGAAGCGATTAGATCAGAACATGTCGTCAAACTTCAGTCATTTTCATGTCTTAGGAATCATTAACGTTAGCTTGAACGGTACTTAAACTGTTGTTTTAAGCCCAAATGTACAGGTTGACATTCACAGCATGTTTGTTTTTAATGACTGTTTAATTAAATACAGTTTTCTTTTTTTCAGTATTATTTTACTTCTAAGGAAACTGGCAGTATTTTCATTGTGTGAAATCTCAGGTACTGTCACCGTAGCAGAACCAATTTAACATTGATAACGTTCTGATTGTGTGTACAGTGTGTGCACTGACCCACACTGTTGTCTCAGCGAGGACCGTGACTAATATCTGCCTCCGCGTCTACGTCCAGTCTCCATCTGCTTGTTTACATCAGCGACAGAAAACTCACTCCACTCGCTTTCGCAGTAACAGGAACATAGTCGTCCTGGAACACCACCCTCGTGTGTGGAGTGTTTTGGGTTTTTTTAAACATAAGGATGGCGGCTCTATGTGATGGCACCGTGATCTTAAATCTGAAAAATAAAGTGAGGCGTTTTAAATTCCTCCACTTAAGACCGAATGTCTGAAACTAAACACCAGGTGATGCTCCTGTGGTGATGTTGATTTGTCCCTGTTTCCCCCCTGTCTGCAGGAGCAAACACCAGGTGATGCTCCTGTGGTGATGGTGTTGATTTGTCCCCGTTTCCCCCCTGTCTGCAGAAGCTGACCTGTGACCTCATCCTGAGAACTGACCCGAGTTCTGTAAGTGACACTTCCTGTTTCTACCTGACACCAAAAATATACTATTAGTACTTTTTGTCAACGCTTATGTTCTTTTAGGGACACTCTAAGGTCTTTAGGACAGTGGTCCCCAACCCACAAGGCGTGGACCGGCACCTGTCCGTAGGTCGATTGATACCGCATCGAAAGAATGCAAAACTTAGATTATACTGCGACAGGTTGTTACCACACACTGAGCGCCGCACGAGCGGCCGTCTGATGAAGCGTTGAAGCTTTCAAAACTGCTTCGCCTCTTGGAGACCAAACCTTCTGCAATGAAAGAGAAACGCGATGTTACGATGACGCTTCTGATAAAGTTGACTACACGGTGGCTTAACGTTTATTATTATTATTTAGAAAATACCAGTTTTTAGGGCGATCGAATCATTTCATTTCGTTGTATTTATCCGCCACATCTTAAAGGCCGGCCCAGACATTTAACCAGTCTGTGGCTCTATTCAGTCAGAGGTCTGGTCCAGTAGTTATCCAACTGGTTGGTTGAAACAGGAAGTCTTAGAGATTTGACAATTTTTTTAAAATTGCTAAAATCAACAACATATAAATGGTGTTCACTCCTCTTGGTTAAAGAGTGTCTTCTCACCTCCGTGACATTTTTGGACAGTGCAGTGCAGTTACTGTTTTAAACCACACTCATCACAGGTTCTTTAATGGTTTGTTGACTTAATTAAGGAACTTAATGTAGAAACACAGACAATAACCAACTTCAGATCTCCTCCACTTTTTCACACCAGACATAAACACAGGATCAAGGACTTTGTAATTTTACACTTTTGCCATACATGACTCGCATGGATGGTCGGTATAATTAGCTTGTGTGGGCAGTGTGAAGCAATCTGCCATAAAATAACTTTTATTCTCTCTGCAGGGAGATAACTGACCGTCTGTCCAGACCAGCCTGCGCAGCCTTATCTTCCCTGCGTCCAATCACTGTTCCCTCAACCACAGACAGGACCTGCCTTTTTACCCCAAGGACTTGAGGACGACATTGTCTTCATTTTTCCGTGTCTTGTTCGACACCTGTGTGTTTTTAAATCAAATGCACACAGCCTCAGGTATGGTGTTATAAACATATATAATACATATTATATATATCGTTAATATAGCTATTTAAAAGGTGGACTAATGGGTTACTAGACATTTCAGGTGACCCCACGTGGGGACGTGACCCTAAGGTTGAAAAACTCTAATCATTGCAAAGAATAAAAATACTGCCGCATTTTCCTGTGCAGAAATTTTATTTTATTTTTCCAAGGAAACACATTACAGGTCGTTTATTATATTAACAACGTTAATATAATAAACGTTTGTTGAACGGTAACAACTCGACCGACCTTCGCGGCTTCGTTAGCTGAGGAGCTCCCACGGAGTTGGACCTTGTTGGACATCGATGTCTCCGTGTTGGTGAGTTGAACACCTTCATCACCCGACCCCTGCATGAGACACGAGAAACAGAATGTATGAGGCATATGTCGTAGGAGAAAATGTGGTTCACGGCCCCCGACTGTTACATTATTTATTCTTCTCTGTTTATTGAACTATTCGATGGGACACTCCTGATCTGAGAAGCTGCATAAAATACCCCAAAGTTTTTCTCCCAGTGTTGTGGAAAAATACTTCCTTCAAAAAAACTGTCAGTAGCTAAAAAAAAGGATTGAATTTAGTCTAAGAAAAAAAAAACAACTGAAAAGAAATAATGCATTGTTACATATTTTTGTTCAGACGTGGACCAATAAATAACAACCAGCAGCGTTAGAGCTGCAGTTTTAAAGGGATTCATCTCCACATATAATACGTTTTATAAACATATTCCCAGAAAATAATTGATTCTGCCAACATCACTGTCTGAGAGTCAAATCTGATCTGTTATTCCTCACAGTCACAAACTTCCATTGTTATCCCAAAACAAGATAAATGCATGAAAATAATCGATTTCTTTACAGCAATAAATCTTTCATTTGGGGAAAAAAAACAGTTTATTTCAGATTCTGATGGTAATAAAAGCAAAAATCAAAACTCTGAAGAGAAGTGAACAACGACGGAGTGAATAATTGATACAGGACAAAAAGAAAACTGGTGAATTTTAGGGTTCACTGCCGATTTACAGAAACATGTTAGCGTACATTAAATAGTCTAAATAATTGGTGCATTAAAAAGTGACTGTTTATTCATACAATAGAAAAGCACCAGACGTTCTCTGTTCCTAATATAAACAGTCTTAGTGAAAAGGCTGTTACTGTGAGGAATATTTTTTAATTTTCAAACAGAAACAGAATTCTGCCTGTTATAAAAAAACATTTATTCATATTGCTAACTGTGGTGAGTGATTAATAAAATTAATCAAAGTTTCCCTTATTAATTAAAGTCTCTGTAAAAAGAAAAATCTGATTTCATTTTATAAATAGTAATTAAAGCAAAAGTTGAATCCAGGTGAAGTTAAATAAAGAAAAAGTATTTCATCTCTATTTCAAAATATTTTTCATGTGTCTACTACATTCACAGAACATTAGCGCCGGTGTTTGTACCAGGACTGTTGTGGCTAATGTTAACCTCCGTTATTAGCTACTTTTGTAGCTAATGCTACTCCTGCAGTTATAATAATTCATTAAATATTTACTTTTCATTAGAGACATTATTTTGTGTGATTAATTAACGAAAACAAACATTACCAACGCTAAATCTAATTTTAAAGCTAATTTCCACAGATGGTCTTTGTCTGAAAATGGTTTTGTTTGTTGCTATGCTTTGGTGCAGCTCATATCTTATATGTGCTGCACTGGCAGGTTCTTAGCAAACACTTCTTTTTTTATGTATGCACATATTTTATGTTATTTTTTTTGTTCATGGCTCCGTGAATGTTTAGTGTTTTGACTCTGCCAGCTGTTATTGCAGGGTGTTTGTTTCCCGCGGCGTTGACCTGTAGTTCTCAGGGAAATGAAAGTTTAAAAAGAAATAACATAAATTCACCTGTGTGGCAGCTGCACTGTCTTTTCTCCTTAAATAGAACTTAGACAATACAGCAGTTAGCATGTCCTCATGTAGCCTTGGCTAATAACGAGACCACCCTGGTATCAGGGGTCTAAGGTCTTTCCATCTGTTGTGGGTAGTTTTTATTGGCTGTGCTTAATCAGGTAAAATGTTTGACGTCCAAGGTTTTCAGACAATTATTATTGAACTGGGTTCACTGTGTGCAGCCAAACTGATTACATTCATTCATCTGTCAATGGGTTTCATTTGATGATGTCATTGAAAGTTTGAACATGACCAAGGTCTAGTCTGGCTAGGCCTACCATCTATTCAGGTCTAAATTGTTTTAGACTTGTTTGTGTTTTCACTGATTTAACATTGAAGGGATTTATGTAGCTAAATACACGCAGGTCGCCTGCGGCAACACCTTGTGTCTTACAATTTGAGGCTCTTGTACCTCTGCGTGAATGAGTGTGTGTGTGTGTGTGTGTGTGTGGAGCGGCACACACAGAAATGTCAGAACAGACAAAAGCAAAGTTAAATATAAACAAACATGAAATCATATCTGAGAGCAGCATCTGCTCAGTGGGCTATCATGTCAATTACCACAGTGCACATCACACACACACACACACACACACACACACACACACACACACACACACACATATATATATATATACATATATATATACATATATATATTTACGTATATATGTATATATATATATATATACATACATACATATATATACGGTATATACATATACATATACACAGTGAAAACACAAACAACACAAATATATACATACATGTTTAATGATTGTTCTGACCTGATCTTGTTCTTTTCCTACAGCGTTTGATTGACACTGAATGAAGATTCAGTAATAAACCTGTTGTTTGTGGAGCTGCAGAGACTCGTCCTCACCCTGAAAACAAAGACATTTCTGGTCAGCCAACACATTCAAAATACTTTTTTTATATATAAATATATGTTTTAGTTTCTATATTTCTCCTACCTTCTTCTATTTCCATTTGTTTGGTTGCATTAAAATTGTTCTTGTATTTCGTGGACACTTTGTTTAGTTTCCACAAACGTTCTCCTGCAGACACACAATTAATGAAGATGTTTGTTTGGGTTTGTTTTTTTTTTCTTCTGAAAGATATTTCTCCTTAAGTCTGAAAAAACAGAGGGCAAAATAATAAACATTGCTCTGAACAATTTGTATAAAGTGCGTTGTAAAGACTGTTAAATATTTGTGGATTTTGTTTATTTTAATTAAAGACATTAACACAGTTAGAGTGAAAATAATTAACCTAACCCTGTCTGTCCCTCCACTTGTTTCTCCAGGTTCCTTCCAGAGTTCTGTAGAACTCTTCTGTAGAAAAGGGATCGAACGGTTACCTAACGACCATTAAATTTGCATTAACATGTGTCACTACTGCAGTCGTGTTATTTTTCAGGGACTAAAAATAAAAGTTGTCCGAAGGTGACCTCTAGATTTTGCACTCAGTGTTTTCCCTGTTGTTGATATTGTTTTTCCGTGTCGTTCATGTTTTGTAATTAATCAGATTCAACATTACATTGTCTTAGAGTGTAAAAACCACAGACACACATGAGTTCACATTTCCCCAGACAGCTGTCTTCTGACCTATGTCTAAACATTAGGGTTAAATTGGAGTTTTAAATGATTCATAAACACTGCCCCCTCTGTTCAGGAGTCAAATCTGAACGCTGACTCACCACGTTGTAGATCTGCAGCATTTGTTCTGTGCCAGAGATGTAAAAGTGGGAGGTTGCGTCCTTTTCCACCGGGCGCTCCGTCTTTACGGTGGTGTTTAATCCACAGCCAGTGACGGCCCGTCATCTATTTATAGATACAGTGATCAGAGGAGCAGTGTCAAACAGGGGCGACCCTCCGACCGATATCATCTTAAAGACGGTGCTCAAAGAAGAAAACACATTAGGGTGGTGCCAAATGGGACCTGACGGGGCCAGGAACCATTTTAAATATTTATTACACAAAGTCAGAAGTAATACCAATCTATTAGAATCACTGTCCCATCTGATGAATTGCATTTTGGAGATAAAAGTCCTGGGAATAATTGTGTATGCTGTGAGTAGCAGTGTAAGGCCTTGTTGTGCAAACTGCTGAACAAAGATGTTGGATGACTAATGGAGGGAGGACGGTGGCTGCCTACTCTGAATATAAATCGCTGGATCTGAAGGTAACATTACAAATGCAAAAACAGGAGGATGAAAACACAGACATGAGAAAACACACACACACACATACGTGCAGCAGCAGCAACATTAACAGTGTCAGGATTCCATGCAGCAGTTTCTTGGCAGTGTTCGACTGGTGTCAGCAGGGCAGAACTTAAATGCTGCAGGCTTCAGCCACCGCTCGCTAAAATTAACAGATTTGTTTTGAGTTATGAGCAATAAACTAAAATTATATGGAGTTTTTTTTTTTCCTCCCTCCATTCACCACAGTGGGGAATTTCTCCAATTGGGTAATAAGCTGCTGTAAGCGATTACAGCAGAGCATTTAAGAGGGGAAGTTCTTTTTCTCTCCTCAGATTTTTTTTAATGTTAAACCACGAGATGCCTCGGCCTTTGCTGCTCGTTAATAGGCAGAGATTAGACAGGCTGCCTGGGTTACTGCAAAATTTATTGGATAACGTCGGTAATTAGGTTTCATTTTGCTCTGCAGTATGAACTGGGAACACTTGGTTTTTAATAATACCACAGATCTGTGCCGTTTCATTTTAATGATTTACTGCATATTTGGGTGAAACAGTTGAACATCTGTACTTACACTATTGAAGCTGAAGTCTTGTGTGTATTTCTGTCAATTACTTGACCTTCCATCACTTCTCCTCCCACTCACTTCCTCCCTCGTCCACTGCTGCGGTCGCTCTGGCACAGACATGCTGCATAAAACACAGGCAAACACAATCAATGGTTTGAACTTTTGTATTCACCTTAAATTACCTGACGTGTAGTTACGCTTCTCTTTCCTCCAGAAGTTGTTCATTTTAAAACACCAGGTAAATCTAGCTTTAACACTAACCAAACTGAAAGACATGTTCATGGCATGGTCTTCACAATAATTCATGATTATATAAGAGAACTTTGTCTGTGTATTTCTTCAATTCCTGCAAGTATATGTTGTATGTTGTATTTAACTAAACAGGACCAGGTTTCACATAGAGTAAATAACTGTTTACATTATACTTAAAACCAGGTTTCACATAGAGTAAATAACTGCTTACATTATACTTATAATATAATATATAATTTTAAGCCTCATCTTAAACCTTACCCAACTCAAGTCTGACCCAAATCCTATACACTATTTTTACAAAACAATGTACCCACCAATATAACTAGACAAGTTGCACACACACACAAACATGTTGACCAGTGTGTTTGGCCACAGTGCCCCTGGCAGGGCAACTGTCCCCTCACATGTTCAAACTCATGTTGGCTCAGAAGGGCTTATTAGGAGATCACTCCATCACTTCATCAGCAGCTTCTCCTCACAGCAGCCTGCAGCTCTGTCTCACATCCTGGCTTCAAAAAAAAAAAGAAGAAGAAAAAAAGCTTCATCTGTTGATAAAACCAAGAGGAAGAAGATCCCTGCTCCTGCTGCTCCTGCTGCTCCAGAGTCTCCCCTGACTGCTGCCTGTGTTTCTCTACTCTTGCTCTGTGTGATTTTTTTGTCAACTCAGAAAAGTTTGGCTTTAATAATTCATTCTATTCTATATACAAACAGCACACACACAGAGAATTACTAACCGTGTGTGTGTGTGTCACTGTTTGCTTTGCTCTGTGTTTACAAATCAGTGGCCCACAACACTCTGTTGTTTATGGCATTTAGATTGGGTGAGGAAATAAGAAATAAAAACAAATTTAAAAAGAGCTCAGTTGTTCACTCACTCCTCTGTCTGACATTTAAGTCTTAATCACTCTAATATAATTCCTGTGTCATTAAAACCTAGGACTGAAACACTAGCCATGAAACCAATGAACGACTTTTAAGTAAACAGGTTTTTGAAAGAAAAGGTTCAAAACAAAACAAACATTTAATAAGTCAAACTTTAGTGTCTACTTTATCTATATAATGTTGTTTTTTTTTTTTTAGATATTTCTGGGCTACTATTTGGTTCTTTTGTTAAATAAATTTGCTATTTTCTAACTACTTTCATCTTTTAAGCTAAATTTTATAGTCTGTCAGCTCTTAGCTATATATTTTTGCTCATCTTTCATTATTTTCTTAGAAAATATAAATATTTTCCAGACTTTTTTGCTAACTAACGCCATAAAAACGTTGTCGCCAAATTGTAGAATTCGTGCAAATTTGTATTTAGGAATTCAGGGAACTGTCAAATGGGCTTATTAATGTCTTTTTACTTTAAATATATTCCACTAAAATTTCCACTAAAATAAATGATAAAAACATTTCTGAGAAATATCCCAGTGACAGAAGGAACAGTGACTCACGATGAATGAGTTCAGATTATTAGATGCACTGTGGGGTTTGGAAAATAATTTCTGCAGATTATTAACTCAGTGGGAGAATAAATTATATTCTTTATAATATATTATTATAATATATTATGATTCAACTTGTAAAAAAAAGTCTCTGTGAAGTTGACGACAGTTTTGTCATGAGCCTCGGAGCGTGAGCTCACATAAGCAGATGCACTCGAGCTCTCGTAAAAGGTATTTACATATTTACGTGTTAACGATGAGCCAATGCAGCGGGTAATTAACAGACCTCCATACATGTCATCATCCATTCAAATCCCTGCAGCAGGCTCTTCTCTCACTGTTATTTATCAAGACTTTTCATGACCTGCCAAAGACTCAAGGGCCGGGATCAAGAACCTACTGATCCACAGAGGATTGTGTCCAGATTTAAACCAGATTTAAATTGAATTCATTTCTTTCTCGGGTTTAAACTTTGATTCATTTTCCAAAGATTATTTTTGTCCAGTGAAATGACAACAAGAGACAAACAACGGGGACGGTGAGTTGTTCCCATAGAAACATGTTTCACTGTCACATCATCACAAGTCACCGCCAACTAGTGATCGCATGTATGTATATGAGAAAAAGGTGGAGAAATGTTCGGCGCCTCCTGCTGAGATTTCAATGTTGGCACCTGTCAAATATTTGCTCAGTCTAATTTATTATTTATTTATTTTAGTTTTTTTTAAAAACCAATAAAAAACAACTACATTCACTGTGGAAAGATTTCTCAGTAAATTGTCATTTTTCTTCATAGTTACCCTTTATTCTGGGTAACTATTGTGTAAATCCTGTCAACTGATGTGAGTGACACAAATCCTCTGAAATAGGACTCGTCTCCGACCCTGCTCCCAGTGGGAGTGAAGCAAAGACAGACTGGTTTAAGAAAACCATCAACACCTCCACCCTGCAGATTCCTAAGTGACTGTGATCCATGGGAGATGTTTATCTTCAGTGTCCAATCAACAGCCAACATCGATTCCATCTCAACATCAATGTTGCCGCGGCAGCTCCAATCGTCCTTTCCTTTAAACCAATTTGTCTCATCCTGTCAAAGAAACGTCCGCAGGAGAAATGTGGCACGAAGAAACATGAGGAACCACAGAGGTTCACAGAAGGGGGGGGCTGTTTTTGGAGAAAATTTTTATAGTCAACATTTTGATATGAGCCACTCACGTCTCACTGTTCTGCCAAGTCAAAGCTTTTCATCAAATAAACTGTCTTTCAGACGTTACAATATCCAACAGACTCAGGCCACAGCTTTTCAGATTCTCTTTCAGACCCCAAATCTTAAACTCTCCAAACCAGGACAGTTTCCAGTGGTGTATTTCTTAAACGCTTTGTATTTACTCCATACTTTAAGGGGTGTAATACCATAGCCCATCTGCAGGAGGAGTACCTTAAAACGGCTCATTAATCAAATGTGTTAATAAATTAACGGCTCATTAATCAAATGTGTTAATAATTTAATTAATGGACATTAATGGACATTAATGTCCGTTAATTAATGGACACAGCGCCCCCGTTGTATCACAAGGACAACACCTTTCAGAAACTATGTTGTTCATTAAAACACAGACCTGTAGTTTTGGTTTATTATTTATATTTGTTTTAATATTTGGCTAAAATATTTAGCTACGCTGGAATTTAGGTTCATTTGCTCACCTTCACATCTGTGGAATTAAAATAAACTGAGAACTGTCTGTGAGTCTGTCAGTGTGTCAAACCTGGAAACACATTATGTTGCTGCACTGCAGTGAGGGTCTGGGGGTCTGGAGGTCTGGAGGTCTGAGGGTCTGGAGGTCTGGAGGTCTGGAGGTCCGGTGGTCTGGGGGTCTGGGGTTCTGGAGGTCCAGTGGTCTGGTGTTCTCGATATCTGGTGTCTCTGATATCTGTAGAACACAAGAATAGTTATTGATGACTTTTTATTGTTGGAGAAATAACTGGATTCCGTTGGTGTGAATTCAGGGATGATGGAACGTTTTCACTGGATTCCTATTAAACATTGTTTAATTTAATTTAAAAAATTAAACTTTTAATACTTTTTTTGAAGTTCCCTTAATTGGAGGCATGGGAAGTAAAACAGCTGTGGCTGTTAATTAATAACCATCATTAAACTTGGCAACATAATTCTTCATTACCTCACAAAATGTTCTAAGGAGAAATCAGCAACAATGGAACTGGAGACAGTGGCAGGAAATTAAATGAAATTCATTTCACACAACGGTTGGAAAAATGATGAATTAAGCAGAATTAAACCATCACACAAACGTATCGCTGGGGTGAGGGTGAGTTGGGTGATAAACTTAGGGGGAGGTGAGGTTGTCAGTGTTTGGACAGTTGTAGTGATAAACTTAGGGGGAGGTGAGGTTGTTAGTGTTTGGACAGGTGAGGCAAGAAGAGGAGGTGAAAGTGTGAGAGTGAACATGGAGCTGGTTGGTGTAAAAGGAGACCAGGAGATGGGATGAGAAGAAGTCAGATGATCCGTTTTAGCGACACCTGTAGGAGACAGCCCAAACTAATAAATGTATAAATGTAGGTATAAAGGTATCAGATATTAAAAGTCCATTTGTTTATTTATGGAAACAAACGGTCCAGTTTGTAAAAGGCATCATGACGTTCGCTGCCTTTAATCAAAATGTTTTTTTTCTCTGTAACTCAGCATTGACTGATCTTTGTGTTTCAGGCTCTTTTGTCTCGTGGTGTTTACAGTTGTTGGAGTGGTTCCCAAGTGGGGGCACGGAGCTACTGGGACAAAGACGGAGACAAAATTCAGATCAACGCCGGCAAACTGAGAGTGAGAATGTGACAATCTCCCAGCACCAAGGGTTCAGGTTAATTCAAGCCAAGTTTGTTTTCTCCTGGGAACTGATGAAATTTTATAGCTTTTTTTTTTCTGTCAGTCAAAGATTCAATTTCAATATTTTTCTATTTTCATTTGTCCCAGGGAAGAGAAATTGCAATGACTTTTAATGTCACTCCTGTTCTAAAGTCACTGCTGCTGTGATGTCACTGCTGTCGTTAGACAAAAACAGCAGCTCTGCACAAAAGGAGCAGCAGAAGTTTCAATTACGCCTCTGGACAGTAGGTGTTGTTTTAAACTTTAGAGAAAATTGTCCTTGGCAGTTAGAAAAGTAGACTTGGCACGAGTGCACACTTGACCGCGTGCCAACAGTTTAAACACCAGGATTCATTTGTTTGATTAAAGACACTGTTTCCCATAAAAAGTCTCCAGTAAGTACAACTAACGTATGCAATGGATAAATCAATGATCTGTTCTGTCCAGAGCCAGGAGACAATTTGCATTCCATAATATCTGCTGCCGGTGAGGGTTCAGTTTATCTAAGTATCTGAGTACGATGAACGATGTCACTGAAGCCCAGCGAAGCACTTTGATGAATTGAAATCAATCAAAATAAAATCCTGCTTTTCCTCAGACATGGAGCAGGTTCTGATTGGTGCAGTTAATTATTGAAAATATAATTCGGCACATACTGTGAGGGAGGAAAACATATGGTGAGTGTTAATGGACTGAAACCAGATCTCTGATGGACCATTTGTTTCATCACATAGTCTGATTTTGATCAAAGTTCTACAATTAAATTCTTGTGAACATAAATTATGGAGCTAATAATGCCATGATTTATTTTATATTTAAGAGAGATTTATATCCAGAAGTCCCCAGTACTGGTCTGGTAAAATATATATGGAATTACCCAGTGACCCAGTAGTACTCAATTTCCTATTTGTATTTGTTCTCAAATACCAGACTTCTTCTCATAAATATATATCTTAATATTGCAGAAAAATGTTTTGATTTTAAACAACATATTATTTTGGTCCAGATAAACCAAATATATATATGTATATACACACCCACACAGACAGTTGTTTTTACTCTCTCTCCTGTTCATCTCCCTTCTGTGTTTTAAATATCCACATCAAACAGGAAGTATGATGTAAAAAAGATACAGTGGGTTGACCTTCATTCCCAAGGTCAACCTAAGTTCCTGTGTGGGTCTGGGCAGAGACACAGGGCAGTTCATCTCAAATCATTAACAATCTCTATAATCCTCCCTCGTGTTACTCCAGCTAACTCCCACACACCAGCAGTTTTTAAGCACATTATTAAAGACTTCTCCAGGCCCAGTGAGAACAGGACCAGGCAACAAAAAGTCAGCAGTAAATAATTGAAGAAGAAATAATGAAACCATGAATAATTTCAGTGTTTTTCCTCGACAGGACAAGTGTTATACTATTAAAAGCCACCAGGATAAAAAAACAACCAATTACACCGCAGCGCTTCTTCAGCAGCAGCAGAGACAATAAATCAAGACAATATTTCTGAGGAGTTTCTTTTTGTTCTCTCTACTGTTATTTTCTAATGCAGAAACACATTTGACCACAGTTGACACACACAGGCACACCATGGGTCACTGACAGGTGTGAACCAGTCCGATCATCACACTTTTTTCAGTCATCATAACTTTTTCCAATTCATTTTCTTGAAATTGTTGAAAGAAAATTCTAATTATATCTAAATAAAAACTCATTCTTGAATCTGTTCATATGTTCTCACTCTGCAAATGTCCCCACAAGGACAGTGTATCACAGCAATGGTACGTTTACAAATAAAATGTCCCCGCAAGTACAGCTATACCAGGATCTCGCACACACTCACCCAGACAAAGGCCGGTACATCACCATCACAGGCTTTTAAAAATACATGGACTGAGAATTCACAGCAGACTCAGATCCCGACCATTACAAACACACACACAAAGAAGTTTACTTTTAACACCCTCCAAAATGCCACTCTACTTTATCTCATCTCTGCTACGTCTCCCTGTTATTTTGCAGGGAAATAGCACATTTTCAGAAGCAGAGAAAACCGTGTAAGAAATGTCCTGTCCTTAATGTAACAAGGCAGTAGAGAAAGTGTTTTGTGTCCGACTGGACAAAACATGATTGGCCTGCACCGGGCCCTGACTTTCACCTCCGCCGGAACACACCTGAAGTCAACTGTAACACTGAACAGATGTCCAGGCTTCACAACCAACACTAGAGGCGCTGGACCTCAGACAGATCTTTCACAGAGTATTTGGTGACACTCCTGCCTTTAAACAGTAATGACCAGATGTTAAATAAAATGTTGTTTTCATTGTTTTCTGTTAACATGAACAGAAAAAAACAACATTTCCATCACAATCTCAAATATTGAAAGAAAAAAACAACGTTTGCATCACAATAAAATTTAGAAAACTCAATCAAATCACTCAATCACTAACTTAATCAAAGGGTGAAAAATTCTGGTTTTCTAATTGACTGGTAGCAACAATGAAATCCACCAAAGTTCTCCAGAGAATTGTCTTTAATTTTAAAGATTAACGTCCGTTGCTTATTTTCAATTTTTCTGCCTGCTTGAAAAAAAGTCCAAATGGCCCAAAATGAATAACCAGAACCAGACAATCACAACCACCGACAGCAACTTTGTTATTTTACTAATCTAATTTGCATATCTGGATGTTCTCAAACTGGGGCGTGGTCGACTGTAACAATTTCATTCCACGTTAGGTTTCATCTCACATGGTTCAAATATTGCTGTTCAGGTCTCGTTCCTCCAGGAGTTTAATAATGTAAAGAAAAATGTTCAAAGAAATTCTGAGAGGAATGCTGAGGAGAAGGAGAATTATGGATAGAGCACTGTTCCAGAGAAAGGAAAGAAAAACATCTGCAGCAAGAAGAAAATATCAGGTTAGGGTAGAGAGTAGGTTAAATATAGACATCTATAAGAGCAGATCTGCACTAAAACACGTCTGAACAGAAAGGCAGGTTCAGCTGAGAGGCAGCTTGATTATTGTTCCACCAAATGTAGAATTACATCCACACATAAGAGCACCCTTGGAGACATGAATGATTGCAGGCAGACAGGGGTAAAAACTAGACCCAGGTGTGTTCTCACGGTTTCTACCCGCAGGCACATTTTCTGTGAGAACCAAAAACACCAGTGTTCTACTACAGCTCAGGCCAGGAACACAATCAGAATGTACAACATTATGATCACCATCATCATCATCACCACCATCATCAGCTTCATCATCCTAGTAAAATCCCATCAGGCACATCTTTACTCCGAAACAAACAATTTGGTCATAGGCTCAAGTCTCTAATTTATTATAAAATATTCTACTTCTATAAAATTATAATTTTAATATCACGTGAGGAGAAAGGTATTTTCTAACAAATCACCTCATTTGTTGTTGATAATTTGCACAGAGCTTTGAATTGATTTTTTAATAAATAAAACAATCAAATAAAATATCTTGAATTCTTCTAGCATTTCTTTTTTCTTGTTGTTTATGAATTGTTTTCTTGTCTTTCAAGTCACTATTTCTGAAAGAGCACTGGCCGAGAGGCGATGTTAGTCTTTATTTGTAAATTGCAGGATTTGATAAGAATTAAGATGTTAATGTTAACAGCCCTGCCAATTACAGCCCGATGGCATTTTGTTTCTGTCTTCCTTTAATGTCAGAAACCTGAGGAAAAGGTCAGAATTCTGTGGGAGGATATTTTGAGGCTTTGAAAAAGAAAAAGAAAAATGATGAGCAGTGCAGAACCAACTTGAGTGTACCAATTTACTCTACCCCTGAAGTGACCAATTCACGACTCAGCTTCCCGCAGAATTGACTTTTTCACGCCAAAAGAAGCTACTCTGTCAATGAAAATCCATTTCGTCGGAGTGTGAGTTGTAATGTTTTCTCCCAGCATGAATTTAAAAGAGTGCAGTGAAGTTGGTTCCACACTGGTCATTCTGACTACGTTTTTTTCCTAACACTCACTTTGAATTCTGAGAATAAACTCGAACTATGTTAGGGGGAAAAAAAGCCATGTTGTCCTAATCCTCCACCATAGCAACAACGACTCTCTCATCTCAGGCTCAGTCATTTACACCTGCACTTTTTATTTTCATCACAGGCAAAAGCACAAAGATTTTAGTTTTCATGTCATCAACCCATTCATTAAAGATAATGACCATTATCATAATAATTAATAATAATAATTTGAACTTTATTGATTCCACACTTGGGAAATTATTGTTCATGTTAGGATAACAAGATAAGGGAAGGTATTTGACTGATATTGTGCAGTTGCTCAGTATCTGTATCAGTGTTGGACATTAAAAAGTGATACTGAATCTGAAGAACAAGTCTGTTTAAAATATTTCATTTCTCTCTATTGAAATAAGCCAAAGAGACCGCGGTACTTTAATGGACAGCATTCTCCCTGACAGTCATCAACTGAAACGCTGTAACAAATTGATGACAAATTGGAGAGAATGAACAGCAGCACAGAAGCATCCATTGTACTCTTCTCAGCTACTCGACATTCAGTTCAATCAGCACTGAAGACAGAGATACGCACACACTCCATATTTACTGTCTGGCGTCACCATGGCAACACTGTCTTCTCTCCTCATTTCCTCCCTCTATCTTAATCTGCAGTTGAAAATCTTTGCGGAGACCCATGTCATTAAGGTGGTATTGTAATTAGTGTCTTTAATTGCAGCACCGAATGTGCTGCACACTCACTTGATCTGTTGTTTTTTAATGCTTTGACTGGCTGCAATTCCTTTGAAAATATACTTACAGTTGCTGCAGCAGGAGGCTTAAGTTGTGGAGCCCAGGCTGGTCCATGCAGGAGAGACCTTAGTAAAAGAGGAAAAAGAAGACTCAGCACAGGAAAGCCACGTTCACAGGACTGGTGGCTGTGGTATCTAATCTAATGGAATCTAATCTAATGTAATGTAATCTAATGTTATTTATATTCTACAGTAAAAAAAAAAGTCTCAAGGCTGCCAGTTTTAAATGTGCAGAGGTAGAAAAATAAATTAGATTGTAGTTCCTTAAGATTGGGTCAAACCTGTTCCACGTTGACATTTGGACTCCTCAAAGCACTTTCAGTCCCACATCACGGTCACATAGTAGTTATAGTCAGATATGTACTATATATATATATACATACATATATATATATATATATATATACACTGTATATGTTTATATGCCTCTTCCTTCTTCTGCCAAATGTACACAAAGCCCAGATTTAACCAATCTATTCAGTCTTATTCTGATCAGATCTTTTTTCCAGTCCACCTTTTCTCGGTTGCTCTCAGCAGACTTCTCCTTGGCTTTATAGTTTTTATCCTCAGTAGAATTGGACTTTTTCTTGCTCTAGTGCCAGACTACGGTCACTGTCTCCATCCCTACTTTAATTCCAGAGTGGACTCAGTTCATCACTACAGTCACTGCAGTTATTCAATGCCAATCAGACACATCCTTCACCAGTTTTCCTCCTACACGTTTGAACTGTTTTACTCTATCAGCTTGACTACCCAAACATTTTACATCATGTACAAACTCTGGAAATATTTGGCTACTCCAAGTAGCAACAGTGTGGCCCACATATACTTATGAAAACACTGTTCAGCTAATCACAGTTTACATGGAAGATCACTTATTACTAATCAGATAACCACCAAAGCCACGCTGTAAAATGAAGTAACACAACTGATACATAACGGATAACTTCTCTAGTAACGAAACCACACGTAGCACAGCAATATAAATAACAAAACCAAAATCTGCATTTTGGGACTTACCTCATTTTGGGACTTACCTTCAAGGCCAGGCCCCCCAACCACCATTAGCTTCCTGCCGGGAACCCGTTAGCAAACGGACAGACGTTGCTACGAAATATCATCTTTTAAAATATATTTTCTAATTTTTATTCAATAATTATTATATTTGTTTAGCATAAAGATAATAACAAATATGTTTCGTGTGCTTTGTCCTACTTTTTAGTCTTTTTTATTGACAACAACCTGTCGATTTTGCGATAGTTATCTTTACGCTAGCTTGAGGTGAGGAGCACCTTCAAACCGCCAGGTCTACAGACTGTGACGTCGACAAGCTGCAACACGAGTTGCGTTCAGGTACCATCGGAAACCTGACTATCCGACGAATACAGCAGTTCACGTGTTGTACGGTTCAGGACAAATGATTATAAATAATAAAGAAATAACATTTTAAAAATGTTCTTTTTTATTTATTATTTCCTCTAATTTTCTGAGCCTCTAGCGCCCCCTAACCTACTGTTTCTAATGCAGTGTGGATTTAAACAAGAACTCAGAGCCCAGTTTCCATGCTGAAAATATAAATGTTGAAAATCAGTAATACCATTGGTTGTAATGTCAGGATTTAAATTTTTACAACATTCTTCACTTTGGTGTATTTTTATCTACCATTTTATGATGTCTTCTGGATCTATAATGCGGCAGTTTCAGACATTTTAAATTAAGATAATGATGACAAGAAGTTAGAGCAGAATTCTAAAAGTACCAAGTCATAGTAGATTTTCTCTCAAAGAAGACAGAGGGAGTTAAGACAATTGACAACTGGAGAGGAGAGAGCAGATAGCACAGGCTGCTGATACCAGGGTGTAATGCATTCTTTAAGTTTCTCATTAAAAGCTAATAGATGGGTTTTACTCAGGAATTGAGCTTCATTTGTCTGTATAATGAACTTGAAGCAATACTGCTGAATTAACACATACTTTCTATTGATTGCACATTAAGTCCTCAACATAAAAACAAATGTCCTGAATTACATTTGTTACAGCGTCAAAGATATTGGAATTTTCTGCGCAGTTTTCTTTAATGACCATGTCGCTGATTGAAACACTTATTCCTCAGATTAATATCCAACATCCCTGAGCGCTGGTGATTCTCAAATACTGGGTTTATAAAAGAAAAACTGCTAATATCACCTTCATTATGTCTGGGAAATTACATATTTCAATACAAGGAAGAAATTTTCTTTTTGATTGTAAACACATTAAATGAAAGGTAAGCAGTTGAAATTGTTACTGTTGTTAAAGCCGAAGAGACTGAATGTAATTAAGGCTGAAACTCAGGGGTTGATATAGAAAAATGAATCTGATCGTGAAACAGAATCATTTTAGTACAACAACATATTCCCTGGTCATAAAAACCTGTGTCTAAAACTGTGCTGTCCCAAGGTCGGCTGCATCTATTAATGTTAGCATAGAAGCCTAGAATAGGCTAACATAAAAAAAAAAGATCAAAAACAACTCTTGTATACACACGGAAGCCTAGAATAGGCTAACATAAAAAATAATAAAAAGATCAAAAACAACTCTCGTATACAAACATTAAGGCCTGAAATATGTTGTCTGTAATTTGACCAAACCATGAGCAAGGCAGCAGCAATAATAACAAACTCTGAATCAAAAATGGATCAAGACAAATGTCTTTTCAGCTTCAGACCGCTGCTGCCACTGTGAGCAGAGTTAACAACACAGAATGTTGATCGCATAACAATAATAGCAGAGTTAACAACACAGAATGTTGATGCCATAACAATAAATCTGTTAAGAACTCTATTATTAACATCAGTGTGCAGTTATTTTAATAATAATAATAATTAATTAATTGACAGCCCTACTAAAAACAGAAAATAGCTCAAATATAACAGACAAAATTTGGACAGAAAGAAAAACCAAACACTCTTAGATCATTGTGTCCTTCTAAAAACAGTAAAAATAAAAATAAAATAATATAAAATAAAATAGAACCATTTCAACAAGATGGACCCTTTTTTTTTTCAAACCTCAACTGAAAACAGCTTTTATAGTTAGCTGGAATGTCCTTCGACAGCTGATGAAAGACGTGATGGAGCAGGTAGCAGACAGTGCCATTGTTAGAGTCTTCAGTAATGAAGTCAGTTCTCTTGGCACACACTCTCACACACACACTCACACACTCACACCATCTCTCTGCCCACTTTTCCAGGTAGCACTCAGCTCCTCTGAACATCCTCAGCCATAGAAATGGCAGTAGATTAAAGGACGCTCCTGTTGTCTGACAGCGTCGACAGCCAACATGCTGAGTCTCAGATGTGTCTCCCGTCAACTCCCAGGAGCCTCCGTTCCCCCAATGAGCCGGAATTATGCAGTAGCCACGGAGTTAAACCAGTGTTTTATATGCAGTACCAGTAAAATCCTGAAGCCATTCCCATTTACAGAGGTGTCAGGCGATGGCTGCCCGGAGGGGATGTGTCCTATTTTGCAGCAGATTCAATCAGATAAGCTCACACTGAATTGTCCTTGGAATGACGGCTGAGTCCACACACATCAGCTGGCAGTGGGATAAAACACTGGCTCTTGTGCACGGTTAGGATTTCTGATCGTCCAAGTCCAGTGAGGAAAGGTCTGTTCATTCCTGATGCAGGAACTGTTTCACATCAATCAGTGACGTGGGGAACATCACAGACATCGGTTCCGGTGTTGTGACAGCAGTAATTGGTCTTTGATGATGTAAAACCAGGGGACGAAGGGAAGGAAATCTTCCAGATTAAAGTAAAGCTTTCACATATACTTTCATTTGGATAAAGATCGAAAAAATAACGTGATACAAAAGAGAAAAACATTGAAAGTAATTGTGCCTTTCTCAGTTACCTACAATAATAGTAACACTGTTACAGACCACCCAGGCCAGTAGGTGGCAGCAATGCTCCTGAAAAGAAGATGAGTCAGATATTGTAAGTAATGTCAACGTAAAAGTATATTTGATCATCACTGCAGTACATCAAGCCAACATTATCACTGTACAAGACACCAGAGCTAACGTTAGCTACAACAGTCTTGGTACAGACGCCAGAGCTAACGTTAGCTACAACAGTCTTGGTACAGACGCCAGAGCTAACGTTAGCTACAACATTCCTAGTACAGACACCAAAGCTAACGTTAGCTACAAGAGTCTGTAGAACTCCTGGCTTCTTTAGGTAAAAAAATACAAAAACAGAAAAATCATCCAAGACTTTTTTCTTTTTTTTCCCTCAGCTTGGACAGTACCATCCATCACCATTAATACAAGTCTGCCTTCACTTCCCACACGTTTGAATATGGAACAAGCAGCTCCTGGGACAGTGTGAAGACTAAATATCCTGTCACTCAAAGATAAAGACAGACTCACTCTCTTAAAGTGTTTCGGGGTTTGTTTTTGTGTTTTGTTTTTTTTTTTTACATATTTTCCATTGGGCAACAAAAACAAAAAGCAGTGACGACTTAATGACTTCACATCCATCTGATGAATGTCATTGAACAATGTTGGATTTCTCCTCCTCTATCTGCAGCAGAAAAACAGCAGTGCGTTAAAAACCGAGGGGAGGGGCCTGGGGTGGTGGGAGGATGGGGGAGGGTGCGGGAGGGTGCGGGGTTATTCCACCACAGAGCCTCATATCTCTGGACTTGTGTCTTTGAAAGTGACTGAGCTCCAGGCTCAGCCAGGCTGTTTGAAAAAGTCTCTAAAAGTATCTGAAAATAAAGACTTTTTAATGCATTCTTATGGAGGTGCTGAAAGTTGTCAAAGACAGGTTAATGCTCCCGCCTGCTCCACCACAGTGACCCCTTCAGGTTACTACAGGAGAGGTCTTGAATTTATTTTATTTATACTTTAAAAAAAAAAATCCCATTTTTTCCCCAAAAACTAGGTATAATAAGAATCATTTCTTTTCTTCTGTCCTTCTTGCTCCACCAATCAGGGGTAAGTCAAAATCTTAATTTGTTTCTTAATTACAAAGTTTTCTGGTTTCTGTTTTCTTAGTTTCTTTACCACCAGTAACAACCATTCACGCTGACATTCACGCTGACATTCACGCTGACATTCACACCTGTGGTCAGTTAAAAGTAAACACTGAACCTAATCCAACACATTTTAAAACAGGCGACAAACAAATAAAATGACAAAAACAAAACAATTCCACAGCCATCAGAAGTGTTAACTTCACAGCAACAACACTCAGTTGTTCCCCTGCTGGTCTGACCCTGCACTGCAGCCATTCACCAGGATTATCTGTGCGCTCATTTGAAATTCAGCGGCGGTGAAAGCACATATTGAATCTATCTGCCGGCCGCCGCCTGACATTTCCCTGTAATTTAACATGCATTACAAAGTAAACAGAGGACGGCGGAGAGTCCATTCACCGCCAGTCGACGCACACGCAGCCGGAACTCCTTTGAACTCAACAAAGATGCACACAGAGGTTTTTCTTTCTGTATATTTACTGTCCTCTCCTGAAGGACACGTCCGTCTGCTGCAGGAACCCTCGGTTCTTTAAATAACACAGCTTTTTTTTTCTTGCCATAATCTGATGTTTCTGCTTTGTTATTTGTATCACTTCAACAAGAAATCTTTGTACACATTAGTGCACAATAGCGCCTCCTGTGAAATCCATGTTCTGAACGTTTTAAAAGTGTGAAATTGAGTGAGTTACAGTAGCAGTTTTTAGCTCATTGTGGCTAACCTTTAGCAGTTTTTAGTCGGATGTTCCGTTAGCTACAGCAGGGGTCCCCAACCCCTGGTCTGGGGACCAGTGTTGGTCCGTAGGGCCTTTGGTACCTAGGACGCAGTGGGACAAAATGTACTTCAGTTTTATTAATTTACTTCATTCTAAAATAATCCAGTCATATTCCTTTACCTTTTTTCATTTAAAAATAATCTGAGAATGTTTCAAAACAACAGGTCAAAGGTCACTCAGACTCTGATACTAACAGAAGAACTCTCCCTGTCTTTTTTTTAGATTTTTCATCTTCTCTTCATCTTCGTGTGTCAGTGTGGATAAATAGACTCCACTGAAAGTAAAGTTAAATTTTAATTACCACTGTTGAACCTCTGCATATTATTAATTACACTTTCCCCAATTCTCTGTTAAAAAAACAAAGTGACTTAAACGCTTACGTAGCATTTTTCGCAGTAGCCGTCGTTATTAAATCCAGACAAATGTCGCGTATTTCTGATAAAAATACCACCTCAGGCAGTAGCCGTCGTTATTAAATCCAGACCAATGTCGCGTATTTCAATGAAACTCTAGTAGTTCCTGCTGCCGGCTCCC